AGCTAAGCAGCAGCTAGAGAGCTAAGCTAGCTGAGAAGCCAGGCAGCAAAGTGAGGTCGGAGAAATTAATTCACAAGCTAAGCATTGACACTTGAATTTCAACGGACCTAGTCAAGTCTACCAAACCAAACCAAAACAACCTCCCTCACCTCATCATCGATCCATCATCACAATCACACACACTTATTTCTGAATTAATCTACTCCGTATAGTAGCATGACTAAAATATAAAAGTAAAACCAACCCAACCCAACCCAACGAGCAACGAAACCCAACGCGGACGCGGTGTCCTCGACTCGTTCTCCATCGGTCGATCCACCCACCTACAACCCCGAAACAGAAAGCCAAGCCACCAAGCGAGAAATCAAATCCAAGCGAGCCGAGCCAAACCGGAGCTCCCTCCGTCCCTCCATCCATACACCCATGTCGTCTCCTCCCTCTCGTTCCCAATGCTAATGTCTCGCCGCCCCGGCCTCGCCACCAGCACAACGCGCCTCCTCGTCGTGATCGCCTTCCTCCTCGCCGTCGCCGCGGCCGCCGCGCCGCCGTCGCCGCGCCAGTTCTCCACCGTCGCCATCTCCCACACCCGCAACAGCACGCTCGTCTGCGCGCTCATCATCGACAGGGTCAACGAGGATGGCGGCGGCAACTCCAAGCTCCAGTGCAAGTCCATGCCCGACGGCCGCCTCACCTCCTACCCCTCCGCCGACATCCCCTTCAACGCCATCGCCGCCGGCAAGGACTTCCTCTGCGGCCTCATGGCGCCCGTCGGCGGCCACGCCGCCATGCGCTGGTGGTCCTTCACCGAGGAGGAGGAGGCCAGGCGGTCTCGCCCCGTAGGCCGGCGCATCTACTGGGGCCCCTCGCTCCGCTCCATGTCCGCCGGCGGCCCGCACGTGTGCGGCCTCTCCGACGACCACGACCCCACCTGCTGGGAGTGGCCCGGCCTCGACCTGCCCAAGGGCCTCGACTTCTCCCTCATCGCCCTCGGCCAGGACTTCCTCTGCGGCATCGTGAAAGGCGACGACACCGCCATGAGGTGCTACGGCGGCGCCATGCCGTCGACGCCCCAGTTCACGGCCGACGGGGTTGATGTCACGTTCCAGACGGTCGCCGCTGGGCGCCGCCACGCCTGCGCCGTGGACAAGCTGGGCGGCCTCGTGTGCTGGGGCGACGGAAACCCCACGGTCCGTCTCGACGAGCTGCCGGCCGACATGATGGCCATGGCGCTCGGCCGCAACACCACCTGCATACTCGCCGGGAACGGCACGGTCAGGTGCTGGGGCGTGAAGGTGCCGGAGGAGTACACGCACACCACCTTCGTCTCCATCGAGGCCGACGGCGACACGGTGTGTGCCGTCATGACCAGCAACTACTCCGTCGTCTGCTGGGGGAACGACGGCCGCTTCGACGGGAGGCACCTCGTCTACAACAACACCATGCCGGGAGCCTGCGCCCCTAAGAGTAACTGCTCCTGCAACATCGTACCCGACTCAGGGAGGCTCTGCGGCACCGGCGGCGGATTGGGCGGCGAAGAACTCGCCGTGTGCAGCCCGTGCAAGCAGCCACTGAACGCGTCCAGGATCGTCGTCAGCAATGGGAGTACGGCCCGGCTCGGTGACGGGGCTGGTGATGCGAAGAAGAAGAAGACGCTCTTCGTGGGGCTCGGCGTGGCCAGCGCCGGCGTCTTGGTGATCATCGTAGCAGGGCTGACGTTCTACGTGCTGGCGTCCAGGAAGTCGGAGAAGAAGGCGCACGCCACCGTCCGGCTCGGGGAGTCGTCGTCCAGGCGGCTCTGCCGCGACGGCGACGTGGAGATCATGGTCATGCCGGCGCGGGAGCGCTCGGCTTCGCAGCCTGCGCGACCGCTCGGGTGCGAGGAGTTCACGCTCAAGGATCTCTCGCGGCTGACGAACGCGTTCGCGGAGGAGGCCAAGATCGGGAGCGGCAGCTTCGGGTCCGTGTACCGCGCGAAGCTCCCCGACGGGCGGGAGGTCGCCATCAAGCGGGCCGAGCGCGCGTCCACCGGCGCGCGGCGGCGGCGGCGGTTCGACGCGGAGCGGGCGTTCCGGTCGGAGCTGAGGCTGCTGTCCCGCGTCAACCACCGCAACCTGGTGTCCCTCCTGGGCTTCTGCGAGGAGCGCGGCGAGCGCATCCTCGTGTTCGAGTTCATGCCGCACGGCGCGCTCCACGACCACCTCCACGGCGAGGACGCCGGGTCCGGCCACTCCCCGCTCTTCTCGTCATGGGAGGCGCGGCTCCGCGTGGCGCTGGACGCCGCCCGCGGCGTCGAGTACCTGCATTGCTACGCCGTGCCGCCCATCATCCACCGCGACATCAAGCCTTCCAACATCCTGCTCGACGACGACTGGACGGCGAAGGTGTCCGACTTTGGCCTCTCCCTCGTGAGCGGCGCCTCGGCGTCGGCGAGCCCGACGACGACGTCGGGGACGGCCGGCACGGTGGGGTACATGGACCCGGAGTACTACCGTCTCCAGGAGCTGACGGAGCGGAGCGACGTGTACAGCTTCGGCGTGGTGCTGCTGGAGCTGGTGACCGGAAGGAAGGCGATCCACCGGGACCAGAGCCAGGAAGGGAGCGGGTCGCCGAGGAACGTGATCGAGTTCGCGGTGCCGGCCGTGGAGGCCGGGAACATCGACAAGATCCTCGACAGCCGGGTGCCCGCGCCGCGGGGGCACGAGGTGGAGGCGGTGGCGCGCGTGGCCAAGATCGGCGCCGAGTGCGTCCGGCCGCGCGGGCGCGGGCGGCCGGTCATGTCGGAGGTGGTGGCGGAGCTGGAGTGGGCCGTGACGCTGTGCGAGGAGTGCGTGGTCCGGTCGGCGAGCGGCGGGCGGAACAGCAGCTCCCGGAACGGCGGCTCCGACATGTCGCGGTCGAGGTCGAGATCGGAGTCGGAGGACCGGAGCCCGTACCACACGCGCGAGTTCAGCTTCGGGTTCGGCCGGGTCGCCGGCGTCGGACATGCCAGATCCTACTCAACCATGTAAAGATTTGATTTTTTTTTTCTCTTCTTCTTTTACAGTTTCTGTGTAGGAAGGGTGAATTAGTTCTTGTCCATAAAAATTTTACAGGAAAAAAATACAGTGAGAAATCAGAACAAGTTCTCATAATTTTGCAAGAGATGGATGCATCAATGGGTTTGCTGTAAATTGTGGCGGTTAATTTAACGTTGTGATTCGTCGAGAAGATGAAATGAAACCACA